TGATAATGTTATTATTTTTCTTATATTGTTTTCATAAATTCCACCGAGGTAAGTGGATGGTAAAGGTTTTCATGTTAATAAAAGAGTTTATTGTAAATTATGCTCCATTGGTCTTTTTGTGTTTTTCTACCCACCTTTACCTCCGTGACGGTGAGATATCGTGATGTTCTTACTGGGCTAGTGTAGCTCACTTCTTATTTAACCATTTCAGATCAGGAAGACATGGTTCCCGAGCCCGTTCCGCAGGAGGACGACGAAGGGGATACCTAGAGACTCTGTAGTCATACTCATAGTTTTATTTTCGAGTTTCTCTCTTAGTTAGTTTAATCTTTTATATTTTAAGTACGTTTTTGGTTTTTCGTGTAAGGGATGTTAACTGAAATTTTGATCTCGCTTCCGCATTTGATATATTTAAATACTCATTTCATTTTAATATTTACGGGGCCGCTACATATAAACTATATTTTTTACTATTAGAAATATTATTTTGAACAATATTAAAATTAATATTTATATTGGAAAATCTAATTAATTTTATTATAAAAAAAAAAACCAAATGTCGACAGACTTGGCTGAGAAGATAATAAATAAATAAATCCCGAAGGACGAAGCAGATTCAGATTCATAGTACTTGGTTGGAGATAGGACATGCAGCCGTCAGGCAGGAATAATCAAAGCAGCAAACTTCATTCCGTGGACTGCGTCTGACCAAAACGACGGCGTCAACATCAATCCATTCTTCATAGCGGAGGAGATCGAGAGAGCCCGGCGAAAGCGAGAGACAGTCGGAGGAGTTAGAAATGGTAATTGAAGGGACCCCAGCAGCGCGTGGATATCACATGCCTGCAGAGTGGGAGCGTCATTCTCGGTGCTGGATGGGTTGGCCTGTAAGTATACTAATCGAATTGGTTGGTTTTTGCATGTTTTGTTCAAAATTCTGTACCCAACAGTGATCTTGATCACTCAGGATTGATGGGGTTTTCTGCAGTTTGTGATTCGACATGGATTCTCTCTGTCGGGCGACGGGTTTCGTCTGGTTTTGTCTATAAGGATTCTGTTGTCAGATCAATTCGAATGCTATCCATCTGTTCGATGATTTTCCCTCGTTTATGTCTTCGATAATAATCATACCCTTGTTTTCGAGAGAATTTATACGACTTCGATTAGCTGCAATGTTCTCTCTTTGTCTCTCTCTATAGCCTAATCAAATTGCTGTCGTACTTGTGTTCCCGTGTCACATATCATGAAGTTTCTTAGAGAAGAAGGCACATGCCATGAATCTATCCGGGTAACGAAGGAAAATGAGTACAAGATGTTTGATATTAGTCCACGGACAAGTAGTTTGGTTAC